TACTTTCAGTGCAGAATTCTGAATGGCTTATCATGTAGAGGAAGTAGTATTTCCATCCTGAGCAATTCCAGACAGTTCAAGAGTTGTCCATTTGTAGAGATGCAATGAATCAATATTTATTTATAATTTAAGGCTCTGTGAAAAATCACAGATGAACTCTTCCTCACATGGGATAAATCCAAATTAAGTTGTTAACAGCCGCAGGCAAGATGCACTTCCTACATAGCATTTTATTTATGAGTGTAGGCTCAACTGTTCTAAATCCCACCTCTGAATGATTTTCACCCTCTTGTCCTGCCAGAGCTGAAATTCCACCCATCAAAGTTAGGGTGAGGTGATTTCTTTTTTCATTAACTACGATTGAATCATTTGGCAAAGAGATTTTAAAAATACATAAAGCAATTTAATTTATCTTTAGTAGCTTAGATAAATAATTTAAAAGAAGAAAAGGAAAGAACTAAACTCAATAAATACAAAAACGTTTTACATATTTCTGAATTTTCAACTAGCTACAATAAGCATGAATTATTTTTTTTATTTTTTTAATTCAGGATATTATGGGGGTACAAACATTTTGGTTACATGAAATGCATTTGCCTCGCTCAAGCCAGGGCCACAAGTGTGTCCTTCCCCCATACAGAGTGCCCCGTGTACATTAGCTGTGGGTTTAACACCCCATATCCCGCTCTACCCCCACCCCCACCCCCACCTGACCGGTACCCAGTGAGTATTACTACCAAGTGAGCACCTTAGTGTTGATCAGTTAGTACCAGTTTGATGGGGAGTACATGTGGTGCATGTTTTTCCATCCTTGTAATACCTCACTTTGAAGGATGGGCTCAATCTCTATCCAGGATAATATAAGAGGTGCTAGATCACCATTGTTTTCTGTAGTTGAGTAGTATTCTGTGGTATACATATAGCACATTTTATTAATCCACTCATGTTGATGGGCACTCGTGTTGTTTCCACATCTTTGCAATTGTGAACTGTGCTGCTATAAACATTTGAGTGCCGATGTCTTTATTATAGAATGTCTTTTTTTTTTCCTTTGGATAGATGCCTAGTAGTGAAATTGTTGGCTCAAATGGTATTTCTCTTTTTAGCTCTTTGTGGTATCTCCAAATTACTTTCCACAGAGGTTGTAGTAATTGGCAGTCCCACCAGCAGTGTAAAAGTGTTCTAATCTCTCCACATCCACACCAGCATTTGTTGTTTTGGGACTTTTTGATAAAGGCCACTCTCACTGGAGTGAGGTGATAACTCATTATGGTTTTGATTTGCATTTCCCTGATGATTAGAGATGTTGAGCACTTTTTTATATGTTTGCTGGCCATTAGTCTGTCTTCTTTTGAAAAGTTTCTGTTCATGTCTTTTGCCCATTTACTGATGGGGTTGTTTGATTTTTTCTTATTAAAAAAGATAACTATTACAAAAAATTAAAAATAAGTAGCTGCTCCAAAAATGCAACAACTATTTCTCTGCTGTGGTCAGTTACCAGAAAGAGAACAGGAATGGTGAAATGAGCAAAAGGAAATAGAACAAAGAAGGAAAAACGATAGGGGGAATCAGAAAGAGTAAGAAGCTGAAAAGAGAAGCAGAGAAACTGTTTTGTTAACTGAGTTAGTTACATGAGGTCACCACGAGGAGCACCCTCTGACTGAGGCTGGGACGAGAACAATGTCACCTGGATGACTTTCCTGCCGTGGCACCTTCACCCAGAGGTAAGAGGCGCGGTCCCCCACGGGAGGGCGGCGTGGGCAAGCTTTCGTTCCCTGAGGCTGGCCCGGAAGGCTGTGGTCTTGCCCCTGGCTGGGTGAGGGCTCACCCCTGTGGACACCTGGGAGTGGTGGCAAAGAACACTGCATCGACAGCCCTGGCTCGGCCCTACCACGACGGCTCAAAGACAATGGCCAACTCGGGCTTTTCTTCTCGAAGCGTTTCCAAGGCAATTTTTGTCTCATAATTGAAATACATTTCACACAACCTGTAAAAACAAATAGAAAGTCTTGGGTTGTACTCTTCAGAAAACTCAGAGTTTGGGTCTTAAAAATCTTATCTTCTCATGTTCCTTAACCCACACATCTCTGAGCTTTAAAATGCTGAGCTTCATGTCCAGTGTGGCTTCTGTTATATTTTTAACCTTCAAGCTGGGAAAATTTTAAACACACACAAAAGTAGAGAGAATAGTAAAATGAATCCCCATGTGTCCGTTACCCAAGTTCAACAATTAAAACATTTCATGCCAAGTCTGTTTCATCCATTGCCTACCCCTCCTCACATCAATGGATTATTTTAAAAACAGCATTTCATGCATCTATCAATACTTCACTTTGTGACACTGAATAAAGGCCTTTTAAAGCATAACCACAATATCTCTATCACACAAAAACATTCAACAATAATTTCTTAATATCATCATATATCCAGTGTTTAAATTTCCTCAACTGTCTTGTCAAACTTTTTACATTACGCTCATTTACTCAGGAGCCCTAGGAAGGATACAGCTTGCCATACTTGGCATGCCTCGAGTCTTTGATATAAGCTTGTCCTCCCCTGCGTTAAAGTCTCCTTTGCAACTTAACTAAGGAATCAACCATTTGTCCTACGTCAGTTCCAACAACCTTGCTTGGGTTGTATTATGGACTGAATGTCTGTCTCTTCCTTCAAAATTCATACATTGAAGCCCTAACCCTAACATAACTGTATTTGGGGACAGGGCCTTTGGGAGGGAGGGAGGGTGATGTAAAGTCATGAGAGTGAGCTCATGATGAGCTCAGCAAGTCAGGAAGAAGAGCCTCATGGGCAACTGAAATAGCCAGAACCTCGAATTTGGACTTTCCAGCTTCCAACTCTGTGAGAAGATAAGTTGCTGTTGTTTAAGCTACCCAGTCCACAGGACTTTGCTCTGGCAGCCTGAGACAAGACAGGATGATTCACATGCATGCACTCGTCAGTCTATTTTGAGCCTTCTGCCCCCACCCCCAGGCAGGGTCCCAAATATCCCCCAGGACTGGGTCAGTGGTCCCACACCTAGCAATGTCTCCAGCTTCATCCTGACTAACCTGTCCCTTTGTTCCTCCATCTGTCTCAGCTCTGGGAATGTCAGCTTGTCCTACTGCCAACATGCTCCACAGTGTCTGCACAAGGGTGCAATGTTTATCTAAACTTTTGTTTATTCGGGCCATGCAGGGTGGCTCATGTCTGTAATCCTAGACCGAGAACTTTGGGAGGCTGAGGCAGGAGGATCACTTGAGCCCAGGAGTTTGGTGCTGCTGTGAGCTATGATGACGCCACAGCACTCTAGCACGGGCAACAGAGTGAGACTGTCTCCAAATAAATACATAAATAAACTTGTGTTTACTCAAACATGCATCCCAGCAGATCCTCAGCCTTGAGATCAAGGATGTGGACTGAAGGAATTTATATTTGGGGGAAGACAGATGGATAACAAATAAACAGGAAAATGACACAGCACAAAAAAAATGATGATCTACACACAGGAAAATAGGAAGAGAAGGGAAAACCATGATGGGCTGCTGTTTTCAGTCAGAGGGCCAAAGACAGCCTCACAAAGACCACCAAGCAGAGGGTTTAGGGATGTGGGAACAAGAAGGGGAGAGAGTTCCAGGCAGAGGGAACAGCAAGTGCAAACAACAGGTCACTGTGACTGGAGCAGAAGGCACACAGGTTGGAAGATGGATCTTCAGAAGCAACAGGGGCCGGATCACGAGGGGCGCAGAAGCTGCCATGACTGTGCAGCTCTTACTTTGAAAGTGACGGGAAGTCACTGGAGGATGCTGACGAGGTGATACGATCGGACTCGTGTTTCAGCTACACCCTTTGTCTGCTACAGTCAGAACAACATGTGCAGGGAGTCTGTCAGGACACCACCACGACAATCCAGATGTGGGGAGGATGGCTTCAGCCAGGGCGGGAGCCGTGACATGGTCAGTGAGTGGACGGGCTGTGAAAGCAGAGCTAATGGGACACGCCAATGGATTGGACGTGGTAGAAGAAAAAGGAGACATGAAAAATAGCACCAGGAATTTTTTGGCCAGAGCTAGGTGTAAGTCACCCAAAGTTACCCTTTGGCCAGAGCTAGGAGTAAGTTTCCCGAGATGGGAAAGAAGCAGGTCTTAGCCAGAAATGAGTAACACAGGTTTGGATTTGGACAGATCAGACAGACATTCAGATGTGGAATTCATGCAGATGCAACATGGAGGGCTCAGCACATACATGGTAAAGCAAGAAGACCAGATGATTTAAATGAGGGAGAAAGTATAGAGAAGAAAAATTAGCAGAACTGAGCTTGAGGATTCAACACATAAAGGTCATGATGATAAAGAAAGACCAAAAAGGAGACTGAACAGAAATAGTTGATGAAGTAGGAGAAAATCCAGAGAATGTTAACCCTAAAACCAAACAACGGAAATGTCTTAAATGAAAAGTGTGATCATTATGGCTGACAAAAGACCCGAGACTCACTAGGAAACTCTTACTAGAGAGGAAATGACTACCTCAGTGGTATCCCTAAGGATGGAAGTGAGCCAACAGTCCCCACACACACTGCTGGATTTTCTAATCTTGATGTTTCTAGAGCACTCTTTTCCCATTTAGAAATCCTCAGAAACAAAATAACATCTCGATAGTAAAGACTTTAGCAATGAAGATGAACCATAGACTATTTCCACAAAGTATGATCTCTTGCACAGAAATATAATCTGATTTGGCCATTATCTCATTAGGACTTGTGTTTCTTTGGGGAATATGGATGCAAAGTCTTTTCACACCCAACTGAACTTGTTTACTCTAAATGTTTGCGTGAAGTTAAACAGGTAGTTCATGAGCTATTAAAAAACAAATCTGCAATGACCGGCCCAGGTCGAACCTAAACCTGAGTGCAAATGAAGCCAGAGCCATCCTGAATTTTGGTAACTGGTCAAATTTGTCTTAGAACTCTGCATGCCAGCACCTGCGTGTCTACAGCGCACACTTACTGCAGGCTTTCCAGGAGGCAGCTCTGCTGTTTCAGGACTTCACAGAGCATCATGACGCCCAAGTCACCCAGGTCATTGTTGCCCAGGCTCAGCTTTCGCAGGCTGTGGTTGGAGGTCAGAAGTGTGGAAAGATCCCAGCAGCAGTGTGAGGTGAGACTGCAGTTGTCTAGTCTGCAAGAAAGGGGGTGATTTAAGAAAAATGCCTGCTTAACCATCCCTCCAGGTCCCCAAGATCTTAACCTGTCTTGCTCCAAATGCAATTTAAAAAACCAAGCACAAGATGAACTTGCTTGAAGTACTCTTATATGCCAACAGTTACTCTTCTCTCCTTTTTACATGGGAGTATCTTTTTCAAGTCTACTAGACTGTGCAGATCCAATTAGTAACAGTGGTTTGTGAATTGATTTTTCCCAAATTCTGCATCTTCTCATAAATTTCCACAAAATGCAAGGACCATACGGTCCTCGCTCATTTGTGGTGCAAAGGATTGTGGTAAAAGGGACACAAGTTTCTACTTTTACATCATCTAGGATGGTGGACCCCAACCTTTCTGGCATCAGGAACCAGTTTCAGGAGAACGATTTTTGCATGGACTGGGGGCAGGGGGTGTCGTGGGTGGGACGGGGTGTGGTTTGGAGCTCAGGTGGTCATGCTGCCTGTTTCTAACATGCCATGCACCAGCAGTGGGCTGTGGCCCAGGGGCTGAGCACCACAGATCTAGAAGAACTCTTCCCAGTCCCAAGATCCTGTAATCAATTAAACCCTAGGAAGACACCTCACTTTTCAGATCCAGATTATCTCGTGGTCATTCCCCCAAATGTCCCCCATGTACTCCCATCACCGTAGTAAGCTGAGGCACTTACTCCAGCACCTGAAGCTTGCAGCTGGGGAGCAAGAGCCCCTCACAGAGGAGCTTGACCCCTGCGTCTCCGAGGGCGTTGCCTCGCAGGTAAAGGTGCGTGAGGTTCAGGTTACTGCTGAGCACCGAGGACAGAGCCGAGCAACATACTGACGAAAGGCCAGAATTCACCAACCTGTAGAAGCAACAGGAGGACAGTCCTCAGTGTCCTGTCTCAGCAGCTGCATCCTCCAACTTAAAGGTCAGGAGCCAGCATCCTGGATAGCATCCGAGGAGAGCCTTTTCTCTGTCTCTCACAGGAGAGACAGATGATGGTCTCAGCAGACACTTTGCTGAGATCAGTACGACAGAAAGAGCAAAAGCAAACTGATCTGGACTCCCGCCCACACTCCTCTACCTTCTTACAGAGTTCCTTGAGGGAATGCTCCTCAGCACCACTTGCTTCCAGAAAGACACTCGAGTGCCCCTGACTAATCCTGCCCCAACCCTGCAGAGACCTGTCTTACTCGATTCTCACACCAACCTGGCAAGATGGCAGTACAGCTGTAACCTTCACACACCTTCTACGGATTAGACATTTGAGCCCCATGAAATCAAGTGTTTCTCTCAAGGCCAAAGAGCAGGTGTATGGTAAAGCATAAAGCCCCAGGTTTGCATTGACCTTAATACTATTCTTGGGTCAAGTGAAGCACATTCCGTCGCCCCAAAAGAGAATGAGGGCTCTGAAACAGCCAGCCGTGTCCCTCTGCACAGCAGCTCACAGGGTGGCGTGTCACACAGAAACCGCGTGTGCGGGCACTCGACACAGCGCTGACCGAAGAACATCTTGCATACACATTACATCCCTTCCTGCCAGAGGTCTTGCCAATGGCATGTTTTTTAAGCTCTTGGGTATGTTGGTATCTAAGAATCCAGAAAAATAGAAAGACAGAAGGAATTCTTTCAGAGAGTATAGCATGAACAGATGGCCAGAAGGCAAAAGAAGTATTTATCCATCTGCTGGTCTCTATCCTCCCTGCCAAGGATGAATCAAATTAAAAAGGTAGATTAAGCAAGGCTGGGGGTAAATGAAGCCCAAAGGAGATGAAGAAAACAAAGCAAGTTTTGAATGGCTTCTACTAAGCTCTCATTCCCAGGTAAGAATTCTATACAGAGTCCTTAATGAGCATGCAGCAGGAATTTGCAAATATCAGGAACATTCCAGTAGACTAGAGATGGTCTTCAAAGAAAAAGAAAAAAATTTAAGTTACGTAGTACAAGCTTTATCACTATTTCCAGAAAAAGAGTAGAATAGATTATTCGACAGATGTGTGTGGAACCCCACACAGTGAAGCAGCAGAAGTCACAAACATACAGTACAGTTTTGTCAAGAAAAAGTCACACATTGTCAAAATGGTGGTCACCATGAAGGCTGAGCGCTGAGTACATTGAGCACATAATAAAGTATGATTTAGAAAATCAAACAACCACATCCCACCAACCAACCCACTGGATGAGAAGAATGTGACCAATGCAATATACCTTGGCTTCAACCAATCCACTCAACTCAGTTCTGCCTTTACTGAGCACATATATCTTGTCAGGTACTGCATAAGGTTAATTTGTGGTTTTTTAAAAATTTATTTAGTATCTACCTTATGTCACAAAAATATCTCATAATAACTGAAGAAGAATTAACATTTTTTGAATATTTACTATGTGCTTGACCATACGATAATGACTTTAAACACAATTATCACCTGAGTGCAGTAGCTCATCCCTGTAATCCTACCATTTGGGGAGACGGAGGTGGGAGTATCACAAGAAACCAGGAGTTCAAGACCAGCCTGAGCAACATAGCAAGAACCAGTCTCTGCAAAAATTAGCTGGTGTGGTCACCCACACCTATAGTCCCAGCTATGGGAGAGGCTGAGGCAGGAGGATCACTTGAGGCTGGGAGTTCAAGGGTGCAGTGAGCTATGATCCCACCACTGCACTCTAGCCTGGGCAACAGAGCTAGACCTTGTCTCAAAAAAAAAAAAAAAAAAAAAAAAAGATTATCTCATTGAATTATCACAAATCCAAAACAGGGAGTATTGTTTTTATCCCACTTTTAAATTGAAAAAATGAGAATCAGAGCAATTACTTGAAGAATTAGCAAGAGCTACCTGAACAGTAGAAATGGAGGAGGATGGATAACTTACCCTCCAGGCAAAAGGAAAAGCGTATGGAAGCATAAGAAAGATTTAAAAAGCAGGCCAGGTTCTTAAAACTAAAATGTAATTCAATCTGACTCTAAATGGACAGAAGACGTAGCAGGAGACAGGGCAGGGTCAAGGATGACCTATGTGCCAACTATATGCCAAATTCACACTGACTTCAGAGAAGAGCTTTTATGGGCTTTTGAACAAAGGCTCAATATTTTCAAAATTTGCATTTTATAAAGTTCCCTTGGTGTGACGTAAAAAAAGATGAGAGGTGTAGGGAACTGAAAGTAAACCGAATTTAGGGTCGCCCTAGCTGGGCAGCCTCCTGGAAAGCCCCACTCATCAACAGGCAGGAAAAAGAGGGCAGGAGCAGGCCAAAGGATGGGGGTTGGGGGCAGATGATGATAATTTAACCTATTTTTCAAATGTTCAGTATGTGATGTTTGCATGTTAATAATATTGGGGTGGGGGACAAAAATAAGCAGCCAGAGATAAGGATTTGAGTTCAAGAAAAGAAAACTGGCTATAGCTAACAAAATATAAAATGCCTAAAAGTTTTTATTTTTTTTTTTCAGAAGAACAATTTTACTTTTACCCATTTATGGTAATATATGCAATGTTAGAATATAATTAGGTAAAGTATAGTTGAGTAAATCAAATGAAGAATCCAGAAGAAAACTGTTCTTCTTGGGTTAAACATGACACACATTGGAAATTCTGGGAAAGTAGAACATACAGTAACAAAAATAACATGCAAACTCAAATTCAAGTTTATATGGTGTTTTCAAAGGATTTAAGGCATACAGCTTTTCCTCATTTATATAACAAATGAATTCTGTCTGCTTGTGTACAGCAAACGGTTAGAAACTGAATAAACTTATTTATGATTTCAGAAATATGCTATTCTAGAAATGTAGTCCATAGAATTTACTTCATTGCTCCTACCACTGATTCCTCACATAAGCAAAGTACAGGTCTCATTCCTTGAAACTGCTTTTGAACACTAGCACTTTAAATGGAAAACTAGGTAGAAACATAGCAATATCAGGAACAAAGCCTATATACTCAGTCTTATTTAAGATAAGAATTGGTTGCATGTCAGAAAATTTATCATTTTCTTTATCCTTGCAGTGGTGAGAGGGAAAGAAAGCAGAGGAGGGGTTACAGCTACACTATTTAAGGAAGACCCAAACAGGAAGACAACGAATCTTCACAGCTGCAACTCCACAATGCGTAACTGTGGATATCTCATCTATTTTATAAGTCATGCTACAGCAAAAACTCAGGTTCTCCTCTATGTATATCAGCTTTCAAATCTTATTCTCTTCAAAATACAAAGACAAATACTGCGATAAAACTCTAACCGCAATACGTATTTCCAAGTAGACAGTATTTCCAAACACCAAAGGGAATCTCACCTTCTAATGTCTTTTGATATGACAAGATTTTGCCAGAGTGAAAGCCTATGACTTAAATAAGTAATCTCAAGGTCAAGTGAGAAACTACAGTTGTTATGGGTATTACCCTACAGTCACCATATGTATTACATATTAAATTAAACCCAGCATTAAATATGCTTGTATAATTATGCTATGAATGATAATAGCAGTGAGGATGCTAGTGAAAAAAAACTATCTTTAACCCAAGAAGATTAAGTAGAAAAAAAGGTAACAAGCAGAAAGCGGACATAGAGATGGGCATTTTTTAACAGGAAAGGTAATTTTAAACATAGAAATATAAAAAGAAAATTACTTCCTTATTTCTGTTTTGTGGAAATAACATGAAACATTTATTTGATATATTGGACAAGAACAGAGCTAAGTAATCCAACTCTACTGCAGCATTACAAAAAAAAAAAAAATCATCCCTTCACCACAGTGTAAGATTCAACCTGCACAAGGGTGCATGTTATATAAAACACAGCAAGACTGCTGCTGCCCTGCCAAGTACTTCCAGTCCCTACCCAGGTCCTACTGAAATACTGGTGGTCCCAATAGTTTTATCGAAATAAATCATTTTTTTAAAAAAAATAAAGCATTTAAAAAGACAAATTAAAATGCCTCAGTAACCATATATCCAACTCAAACTTTATCTATTTAAATGAATTATATTTGCCCCCACCAATAAACTTTTATTTTACTCAAACTAGAGCAATAACCTCCCATATAAGTATCTTCCTTGCCCAATAATTCAAAGGAAAAAAATCCAAAATGATTAGTAAGAAAAATGTAGAAATTAGCATACCCTTTTAATTAGTTTAAATATTTTTAAGGTTTAAAAAGTGTCTAAAGATTGTAATTTCTAGTTGGAAAACATTATCTGAATGAATACCCTAATGGCAAACCACTGAAAAATGCTTCAGCTGCATCTGGGGCAGAGGGGTAGGGATTATCTTCAAAGCACCCAGCTCTCTTGCTGAGAAGGTCAGAGGTACACTGGTCTGTATTATTGCGACATCCATGAGGTGATACAGGTTGCTTTTCCTTCAGCATGGGCTTTGTTTGTTGGAAGGGCATCACGCTTGACCTCCAAATTTGGCTGACAATTTACTGATGAGATGCATAACCTTTGGGTTGCTCTGGCATTTTGACATATTTGCCGGGTTCTGGGCCACATCCTGGAAGGCCACCATAAAGTCTGGATCCTGCATGGCTGCAAGAGCCTCTGATCACTAAGAATTTCATTGAGTCCAGGCATTCCTGCCATTCCGGGCATGCCTCCTCCCAGTCCAGGCATTCCCCCAGGAAAACTACCAGGCATTCCCCAGGAAAGCCACCTGGAAAAGAGCTGTACTGAGCTCTTGATTGTCGTCTGGCTTCTTCCTCCCTCTGGGCCTTCTTAACCCTTTCTATTGTTTCTTTGATCTCTCGTTCTTCACGTTCTCGCTCATACTTTCGCCGATGTTCTGCAATTTTCTGGGCCCTAGGTTGAACTTCTTTCAGCATTGCACTAACATCTTCATCATAATCCAGTTTACAGGCAAGGGCAAGACCATGGGCTGCTTCTTCCCAATGGCCCAGAAGTCTGTGTGCTTTCCCTCTCCACATGTAAGGCTGAGCTGACTCAGGCTTTATTTCAATGGCTCTATCACAATCTCGGATGGCAGCATTTGGCTTCTGTAATTTGATGAAGACACTGGCTCTCTTGGCATACAAAATGGCCAACCGAGGATTCAGCTTGATGGCATCTGTGAACAAGTCAATGGCTTCCTGTAGTTCACCATCATTTAGGGCTTCAATGGCTGCAACTTTCTTATCATTTGCCTGATCCATCATCTCCTTGGTTATCCCTACATTTTCATCTCCCATTTCTTGCGGGGCATCAGTGTCTGGTTCAATCACACCTTCATTATCAATTTCTAGATCACTTTCCTCACTTGATCGTTCCTCTGTCTGTATGTTTTCCTCTGCCTTCTCATTATCTGTTTTTTCTTCCTTAACATTTTCTTCTGATTTAGCTTTCTGAGTAGCAGGTGGTACTTTACCCCCCATGCTCTCTACCCACTCCCTCAGGAAGCGCATTTCCTCGGTGTGCAGAATGCTCGGATCCTACTTACACATTTTCACGAAGGCCCAAAGCTCGCTCACTTTGCGAGGGTCCATGGTCACAAGGCGGAGGACACAGCTGAGGAGGCTGCGGCCCGATTCCAGGCCTGGGCGCTAGCTCAGCGTGATCACGTAGAAGGGCCCTAAAAGTTTTGACTCATTTTTGTTTTTTTTGTTTTTTAAGACAGAGTCTCATTCTGTGACCATGGCTAGAGTACTATGGCATCATGATAGCTCATAGCAACCTCAAACTCTGGGGCTCAAGCGATCCTCCTGCCTCAGCCTCCCGAGTAGCTGGGACTGCAGGCATGTGCCACCATGCCTGGCTAAATTTTTCTGTTTTTGGTAGAGACGGGGGTCTCACTATTACTCAGGCTAAGTTTTGACTCATTAATTCCTCTTATAGATATGGATACTCAAAAAAGTACATATGCCAAATTGCATATGAAAATTGTTGTTTTACAATTTGCAGAGCTGTTTATAATTAGTAAAGAGTAGAAACTCATCCCAAAATTCATTATTTGATAAGTGGCTAAATAAATTATGGTAATGTAGCCAGTGCAGTAGCTCCTGCCTGTAACCCTGGCCCTTTGGGAGTCCTAGGCAGAAGAATTGCTTGAGGCCAGGAGTTCTAGACCAGCCTGGGAAACATGGCGAGACCCCATCTCCACAAATAATGAAAAAAATTAGCCAGGTATGATGGTGCACACCTGTAGTCCCAGCTACTTGGGAGGCTCAGCCAAGAAAGGATTGCTTGAGCCTGGGAGGTGGAGGTTACCATGAACTGTGATCACACCACCGTACTCTAGTCTGGGCCATAGAGCAAGACCCTAGCAAACTAGGTCATTTAAAACACCATATAGAGTGTATTAGAATGGATAGATGGACGGATAAACAGATGGATGGGTGGACTGTATAACAATCCATCTTATAAAAAATGTCTGGATGGTTGTTCACCAGACAATTGTAAATGGCTCTCTCAGAAGTGGGCTGAGAAGGAGCTTCCACTTTTTACTTTGTCTACCATATGTGCATTATGATATGTTTACACTAAGCATGTGTTACTTTTGTAATAACAAGTTCGTGAGTGACATCTGGGTGAGACCTGTTTGGGAGCCATCTGTCTATACATTGTTTTTGAAGCTGAGGGGTGTATGACAGATCCAAGGGAATGTGGAAACATTTAGTAAAATAAAGAAAACCAGTGGTGAAACCCCCAGACCACAGGAAGAGAAGACAACGCAGATTCCAGGGAAGAGGAAGCTGTAACATCAGCAGGAAAGACTGAGCAGTGACCTAAAAACAAGAGAGAAGAAGGCAATCAAAGAGGAAGTGAGACAAATTTAAGGCAGCAGATGTCAGCTAAGATAAGGACTGGGACGGATCTATGACAACTGGAACCAGGGTCACCGAGGCTCAACTGAGCACCCATGCCCTGGGCCTCTCCAGTCCCGCCTGCTCCGTCTGCAGTGCTCTTCCCTGGCTCCTCCATGGCTCCTGCTCACATGTCACGTAGGGCCTGCTCCAGTGTCACCTGCTCGAGAGCCATTCACCGACCCCGGGCGAAGAAGCAGCCCTCGCTGTCACTCCAGTTTTTATTGTAGAACTGCTGTATGTTGCATACTGCTCTGCTGGTTACTGTCATCCCTCCCTGTAAGAATGGATGTTTGTGGAAACGGGGTCCCGGTCTGTTTTACTCACTGCTACTGTCAGCACAAACAACAGAGCCCCAAGAGTGCCTGCAAAATAAATAGGTCAAATCATGTCTGTTGAACAAACCAAGAGTAGCAGAAGCCAAACTGCTTTTAGAAAGAGAGTAACAATGTAAGGGGAGGAAAGGAAGGCACTGCACACAGACTGTTCACAGAAGAGACATGGCAACATCCAGGGAGGGGCTGGCAGGGCAAGTCCAAGGAAGTAGCAGAGCTGTGGGAACATGTTTTGGTTGTTAATTATGGATTAACAACAGATTAATAGATTACTTCTCAGGAAAGACTCTTTCTATTAATATTATATTTTGTCTTGAATGCTGATCTGGTTGATGTTTGTATCAGTAACGTGAAATCTATTATTTGTACATAATATTGACAGAATCAAGATTCAAAAATGCCTAGACAATGGGTTAAAAGACAGGTAAGAAGAAAGTTAGCAGAGCTAAATGTGAGACCCCCACACTTAGGTTGAGAGCCAAATGACAACGCCCACGGGAACTAAGGCAGTGGCCGGTGGGGTCACATAGGCGTGTCATGTCGAGTTCCACCACCTCCCATCTGGGTGTCCTTGGGCAATGGTATGAGGCCCCCTAAGCTTTTCTTCCTCCTTTAGAGACACTAATACCTACTTTGTATCATCTTTATGAGGCCAACTGAGGTCGCCCATATAAAGAACATGAAAGAGTGGTGATACGTTGGTAAATGCATGATTACTGTGTTTCCCTGAAAATAAGACAGGGTCTTATATTTATTTTTCCTCAAGAAGACACCCTAGGGCTTATTTTCAGGGGATGTATTGTTGTTGTTGTTTTTTTTTTTTATTTTTTTTTTTGAGACAGAGTTTCACTTTGTTGCCCAGGCTAGAGTGAGTGCCATGGCGTCAGCCTGGCTCACAGCAACCTCAAACTCCTGGCCTCAAGCAATCTTACTGCCTCCGCCTCCCAAGTAGCTGGAACTACAGCCATGCGCCACCATGCCCAGCTAATTTTTTCTATGTAATTAGTTGGCCGATTAATTTCTTTCCATTTATAGTAGAGACGGGGTCTCGCTCTTGCTCAGGCTGGTTTTGAACTCCTGACCTTGAGCAATCCACCCGCCTCAGCCTCCCATAGTGCTAGGATTACAGGCGTGAGCCTCTGCGCCCGGCCTGGATGTGTTATTTTTTTTTAAGTACAGTACAACAGTCTACACTTATTCAAACATAGTTAAGTCGTCTTCTTCTGGAACATCATCATAACTCTCCGAACCCCGAATTCCATCCTGAATTTTTTGCGACTCCATTTCCTTTAAAACCGTTGGCCCCAATCTCTCCTGTCGAGCAATAGAGCTCTCCTGGGGCAGATGAGAAGGGCTGCTCGTCTTCTTTCCCACTCCTCAATGACATGCGAGGGTTGTACAGATATGCTGTGTAGCCATGCCCATCACTAGGGCTTATTTTCGGGGTGGAGCTTATATTGCACAAATGCCTAGAAATCCTGCTAGGGCTTATTTTATGGATAGGTCTTATTTTCAGGGAAACACAGTACTAATAAGTGTTCTGTATTATTATTTACTGCAGCATTCCAACATGAACCAAAAATCTTATGTGATTGCCCAAAACAAGGAAACCACAGGCTCCACCAGTGAAAGCACAGAGAGAGGCCTGCCACAGGAAGCAAAAGTTCCACCATGCACCTTCAGGTCTAGGTTCCTCGTTTCAAAAAGTGCCATTAACAAACCCACCCTTACCTGGGAGAACGAGACTAAACTGCTCAGGGTGCTGAACCACGCCACGGCTGGGGCTTCAGAGATGGCCGTGCGAGGGAAGACAACCGAGAGTGTGGGTGTCGTTTTGGGGAATCGCTCCTGAAAGCCCTGGGCAGAAGCACGAGGACTAATTCCCAGAAACCAGAGAAGGTGCTGCATGGGGATGAGAGCTCTCTCGTGGTGTAGACGCCTTACTGCACAGCAATAAAATGGGTGACTATTCATGCAGTTGTCTCAGAAGCGAGTTCTTTACTCATTGAGGAATACACAATCTCTAAGGTTTCTTCCAGCTCTAAGAAACTCCAATTCTATAATCATAAGTTAGCATAATTACCTTATTACTGATAGTATGTGTTACATGTATCTAGTACTTAAAAACTCCTTCTGACAGTGTTACCTCTTTACCTTCAACTCCATTTGATTACTCTTTTTTAGAGTGACCCCCATCACATCTGCCCAATAATCCACTGCTGAAGAGAAGCTGCTTTTCTGCTGAGACACCCACAAAGACTTACCCCAGTTTCTGCAGGTTGCACTGTGGCTGCTTGGCCTTTTCACACAGAGTTCTGACTCCTGAGTCTCCCAAGGCATTCTCGCCCACGTAGAGTCTCGTCAGGGAACGACTGGCGCTCAGGACTGAGGCGAGATCCTGACAACACGCCGACGTGAGGCAGCAGCTGACCAGCCTTGAGTGGAGACGGAAGAATGTCAGGGTCATGGCCCTCACCCGCTTCCCACCATGAAATAAGGAAGCGCTGGCACCTGCCGCTGCCCCTATTCCAGTCCACAGCTGGGGAGGGGGTGAATCCAAGCTCTGTATCAATTTCTGGTTGATATTTGGTGGAATAACAAGTAAGCACTTTCCAAGCTCGTCCCAGCACTACCTCTTCCCAGCTCCCTGCATCTATTTGTATTGTGGCAAAATATATGTAAGATAAAACTTACCATTTAACCATTTTTCAGTACGCAATTCAATGGCCTTAAGTACATTCACATTGTTACACAACCATCACCACCATCTATTAATATCTCCAGAATTCTTTTCCTCTTGCAAAATTGAAACTCTGTACCTACTAAACAACTACCCACTTCCCCTTCCTCCAGCCCTGGTAACCATCATTCTACTTTCCATCCCTATGCATTTCACTGTCCTATGTACCTTATATAAGTGGAATTGCACAGTACTTGCTCCTTTGTATCTAACTTATCTCACTTAGCATAACGTCCTAAAGGGTCATCCATGCTGTAGCATGTATCAGAATTCACTTTAAGGCTGTTATGTATACAAATAGCACTTTTTAATCCATTTATCCATCAATGGACATTTGGGGTTATTGCTACCTTTTAGCTATTATTAATGCTGCTATGATGTAGGTTATAGACATACATTCAAGTCCCTGCTTTCAAGTCTTCTGCAGATATACCCAGAAGTGGGTGGTGGCTCCAATGGTAGTTCCCTGCTTAATGAATTATGTGTTTTTTAAGGAATCACCGTGCTGTTTACCTCAGAGCTGTACCATTTTACATTCCCACCAGTGATACACGAGGCTTGCAATTTCTCCACACCCTTGCCAACACTTGTTTTCCAGTTATCTCATTTGTTTGTTTTTGTTTTATAACAGCAATCCTAACGGGTGTGAATCAGCCCTACCATTTTTAAGTGTCTTCTTCTCTCCTTTTTCAGAATTCAATTCTCCCAGAAGCATTTAGTGAAGGACTGCATACAATCTCAAGTGTCTGCATTGCTTTGGCACCATTTTTCCTATTCAGTGTGGGGGCCGAGGGCGGGTCATGATGTTCCAAAGCTCTTGGAAGGCAATGCATTACACTGTTCTATTTCCTCAGCTAGACTGCAAGTATTGCAACTTAAAGGCAGGCATCGTTTTTCTTATTATTATTTATGCTCCTTGTCAGGGCTCAGTCTGTGGCTTTCCCCACGAAAACACTGACTGACTGAACTATCAGCAGACACCCAGAGGGGAACACGGGAAGTCCTGTGGGAGCCAAGGCCATTCTCCCGCCAAAGCTTAGCCCGCCGTGCCTGCTCCAAGCCGGAGCTGCCGCGGACGAGCGCGGACTCACCACAGCTTCTCCAGGTTGCAGAAGAGATGCTTCAGTCCCGCGCACAGAAGTCTGATTCCGAAGTCGCCCAGGGCGTTGTCGCTCAGGTCCAACTCCGCCAGCTTCTGGTTGCTGCTCAGGACCAAGGAGAGGTCGAAGCAGCACAGATGGGAGAGGCCGCAGCGGCCCAGCCTGCACGCCAAGCACAGCGCAGGAGTCAGGCAGCCCGGCCTCGCCCGCCCCAGCCGGAGCCTGGCCGCCGCGCCGGCAGGGCGCGCTCCCGCGTGGTGAGGGGAGACTGACGACGTCTCGAGGAAGCACCGCCCGAGCCAAGAACTCCGGACACAGCCGGGACACCCCGGCAAGGCGGCTCCCGGGCTCCCTGCGACCGCGGCGTGGAAGCCAGCCGGCGGGCTCCCCGCGTCAGTGGCGCCGAGCACTGTGACTGACCCGGGCGTGTAAGCGCCACGTTCCCGGCGCGGAAATGAAAAGAGTGGCGGGCGTGCCCTCCACCTCTGCGGCGCGCTGGCGGCGGAGGCGTCCGCAGCTGGGGCTGCTCCGGCTACAGGTGTAGCCGCCGGCGTGGCGTCTGCGCCCGCGCCGCCCGCCCGGCGTGAACCCGGCAAGCCCTCCCCCACACGGCCCCTCCCCCCCACACGCCCTCCCCCACACGGCCATCGACAGACGCTCCGACCAGCCACTCCCCACACCCCCCCACCCACGGCCGTGAGCCAGCACGCTCCCACACGCCCCCCAGCCCCCACACGCCCTCCACACAGCCTCCCCCCACGGCTCCCACACGCCTCCAACGGCCATCCAGCAAGCCCTCCCCACACGCCTCCCAACTCCCCCAAGGCCGTGAGCCAGCACGCCCCCACACCGCCCCAACGGCTCACACCCTCAACACGCCTCCCCACGGCCTCCCCACCCCCTCCCCACACGCCATAGCCCAGCAGCCCCCCCACATTGCCTCACCGCGTGCTCCACCTGCCCTCCCCACACGCCGCTCACACCCGCCCCTTCCCACACGCCCTCCACGACGCCGCCCTCCCCCACACGCCCGCCCTTCCCCACACGCCCTCCCACACGCCCTCCCCCACACGCCCTCCCCCACACGCGGCAGCACGCAGCCCCAGCTCGCCAGTGGCCTCACACACAGCGCGCACACACACACACACCCCGCCGCCACCACCACCGCCGCCAAGGAAAACAGCACTTCCTCCCGGTCCTGGGGGCAAGAACAACATTCCAGCTACTTTCCAGGGCAGCAGCTCATCTGTCCTAGACAGCCTGGTGACTTCCTTCCTTTTTGTCCCCATCTTTATACCAACTCTAAGCAAATGAACAACTAGATCTCCAGGTATCTGCAAAACCTCTCGCTATTGCCTCAGCTTCCCTGTTTGTGTCTCACTCTCTGGACTCCCCCGGGGCCACCCCTGGGGTGGTGAGGACGGTGCCATGGGTGAAGCTGGAGAAGCAAGGTTAAGTGCCCAAAACAGCCAGAGCCTTGCAGACAAGAAGAGGATTTAACATATCAAAAGGCCAAAGAAAATGTATTTAAGCAAGGGAATGGCACCATCAAGCTAGGATTTTCTAAATGACCCTCTGCCTTTCAAGTGCAGAAGGGGTCTGCAGGGGCCAAAGCAGATATCGGCAGACCAGACAGCCAACACGCATCCACGCCTCATTCTTGAGCACTAACACATACTAAGCTGTCCAGACATTGCAAAGATAATGGCAAGACAGACAAATGTGAACCCTACCTCGAAGAGCTGATAGCCAGGAAGCCACTGCAACGTCAGGCAAGCTGCGGTGGCTGTTGGACCCAGACTGGCGGAGTGAGGATGAGGAACAGTGGGCAGTGGCTTGTGCAGTGTGCAAAATTGATAAGACTGGTGACGGGTGAGTATGATGAGCAAGACAGGAAGGTATGAAAACATCGCAGAGCTGTGGGCTTTCCTACTGGGTATGCTGCGTGTGAAAATGCAGGTGCCTGCGTGCATCCACGTGCATCCACGGAGCAAGCGACACACAGCTGAGAAGCCGCCGGGGACCCGTGCGCAGCAGAGGCATGTGAGTCTGACTCACAGCGCAGGCTGAGAGCAAGCACGTTACTGACAACGTCACAGGAGATTCCCTGTGACATTCCAACCAATACCAAGTATTTTCATGGTTTCTAGCTCAAACCATTGTAATATATGATGAAACTGTCTCAATTCTCATCTACGAACATGGCATGAGGAAACAGAAGATATCGAAAGTCATGGTTTTTGTTGTACCAACGCAAAATGACTTTCTTTTCAGTTTCCCGCTTATACTTCCCCATCCAAAATTTCCCGGACAGCCAGTCTCCAGTTCCCTCTGCCTTCTCACTTGTGGTGGGCTGAATTGTGTCCCCCTCAAAATGCTCATGTCGAACCCCTAACCCTCAGGACCTCGGAATGTGATGGTATTTAGAAATAGGGTTTTTTAAGATGTAATTAGGTTAAAAGAGGTCACCCATGTGGACCCTCAACCATTCTGACCGGTGTCCTTAAAGGAAGAGATCAGGACACAGACACACCCAACAGGAAGACAGTGTGCAGGTGCAGGGAGAAGACAGCCGTCCGGAAAACAAGCCAAGGGGAGAGGCCTCAGGAACCAGCCCTGCCACACGTTGAGCTTGGACTCAGCCTCCTGGACTACGAGAAGATAAATTCTGTTGTTTAAGCCACTCAGTCTGTGGTACTTTGTCATGACAGCCCTAGGAGAGTAACATACCACTGACCCAGTCCCTGAGCTCTTTCTCCAGAGTCTCCTGTCTCTCCGCCTCCTTGTCACACACGCGCACGCACGCGCACACACGCACGCACACGCACGCACACGCACACACAGGGACTTACCACAGTCTTTGAATGTTACAGCCAGGATCCCGGAGCGCCTCACACAGCACCCGCATCCCCGGGTCCCCCAGCGTGTTGTCGCTGAGGTCCAGCTCAGTGAGGCTCGGGTTGGTGCTTAGAACCGAGAAGAGGCCCCGGCAAAAGTTGGAAGTCAGATAGCAGTTCACCAATCTAGAAATTGGAAGGAAGAAGGAGAGAAAAGAAAATCAGCCTCTCCCAGTAACAAACTGGAGCTGGCACCAGGGGCACCAGTTCAGAGAACGGACTCGCAGGGGGAAGAAATGGGTCACAAAACCAAAAGTCCTTCCTGGAGGAACAAAGAGGCTGGTGAGCCTTGGCAAGACCAGCTCTCACACTTCATGTTGGGAAGAGCGTGAGCCTATGACTCTGGCTGACCCTGGGTGGGCGGCCACTAGCCTCTCCCTTGGTGTCCTTCTCCTCCCTCCTCGTCCACTGTCCTGCCCATGAGAACCAGGCACTCTGTACTGAACGTCCCAGAAAGCAGTCCTCACACTGGCTGCACACAGCATCAGGGCTGCTCTCAAAAGTCCTGAGGCCAGGCCACACCCATGGCAATAAAGTCTGGGACCAGGGTACATGGGTATTCTCCAGAATTCCAGGTGACTCCAACGTGCGGTCACACGTGACTCCCCGGGGCTCTTGTTCCGATGTGGAGTCTGACCCTCTGGGTCTAGGGCTGGCTCCGCGATTCGCACTGACAGGTGCCGGGCAGGGGCCCACACTGCTGGTTCTCGGGAGGCTGCGGGACACAAAGCAAGCTCCCGCCCTCGGGAAGGCAGCTGCCGTCTGGAGAGACGATGCCCAGCTTCTTCCCCAGGCGCAGTCAGAGTCTCCGCGAGCCTTCCTCGCAGCGTGCGAGCCCGCCAAGACTCTCGCCCTGCCCACCTCGCTGCAGGGCCCTGATGAGCGGGTCTGCCTCTTTCTGCCTTTCTCTCCCCCCCTCTCCCATTGCTATGGTCTAAATGCCTGTGCCCCCTAAAATCTGTATGTTGAAATACCCTCAACATGCTGGCATTAGGTAGTTGGGGTCTTTGGGATGTGCTTGGGTCCTGCGGGTACAGCCCTCATGGAAGCGATTACTGGCCTTACAAAAGGGACCGGAGAGCTGCCTTCACCCTAAGAGGACGCAGCGAGAAGGTGCCGCTGTGAACCAGGAGTGGGCCCTCACCAGACGGCAAGACCGCGGCTGCCTTGAGCGTGGACTTCCCAGCCTCCAGGACTGTGAGAAATAACTTTCTGTTGGTGTCTATAAGCCACCCGGCCCATGGCACTTCAGCAGAGCCACCCAGATGGACTAAGACACCGAGTCTCTTTTCTAGCCATTGTGAGCTACCTGCCGCTGTTGAAACGCGCCCTGCTGTCCTGTGCAAGCCGCTGACCCCACCGCTCCCTCGGTCTGGACCGCCCCTCGTCCACACCCAGGTCTCCCGCCCTCCTCTCTCAGGATCCAGCTGGGCGCAACACCTCCCTCAGCCTGCCTCCTGCTGGCCAAGGCCCCCGACGTGCTCTGCGCCTTCCGCCAGGGCTCTCCTCGGCCCACAGCCCTCCGCCGTCCGCCCTCGTTCCCGACTATCCCGGCAGCCAGGACTCAAGTCCCTGTGAGCAGGACCTGGACCCCAGCACCACTGCAGCCTCAGTGGGCGGTCAGTCAGTCCTTTGTGGCCAAACGGTGACGTCCAGGCCTAGAGAGAGCTGAAACTCACTGCTGCCCGTGGAAGGGCCCAGCTCCTCCATCCTGCCCATGGGAAGTGTCTTCTATGGAGAGCAAAGCCACGCGGCCACCTCCCCACAGCCACTGCGGCCGCCCTGCGGGAGGGCAGGGGGCACTGAACAATAAACCAGGAAGGGACTCAGAAGTCAGGTGACTCAACCCCTTCCCTGTTCAGACATCAGCAACTGGCTTCCGGGAGCTTCCACTCCCCTAGCAGGTCTGTGAACACACCCTCCAGGGCGTGCTTTTGGCAACAGCCTCATACAAAGCAACACAGGGGCCTAGGAGAAAGGCCCTCACCTTTCCAGCTCTGTTTGCCTCGATTCACCCTCATTATATTTGTTTCAAAAAATCTGTGTCCCTCCCCACTGGCATCTGCACATCATTTTCTCAAACTACGTTCATGACCTTGTTCAACCCTTTACCTTCTTCTCTACTCATCCATGTCCTACCAATCCTTTAAGAGAGGCTCAAACTTTACTTTTCTTAGAAAGCCTCCCCAGCTTCCAACTTGAAGGACCCCCTGTCCCCTGTGTTCCTGGGACAGAGAGATTCTGGGGTTGTTTTACCCCTTAGGCTCTGACTGCCATGCATTAGCGCTCCAAGTAGATTACAAGCAATTTAAGTTGGCAAACATTTGTATGCAATCCTATGTCCCATCTAATATGTGGTGCTGGACTGGCATTCCCTAAACTCTCATTTCTTGTTTTATTGTGGTTCCTTTTCTCATCCCATTTACCTATCCACCATAAGTCACTCTCTGCCAATGTAGGGCTCTGGCAAAAATGGGTGATGGTGGCATTATATAGCTCTGGTAATTGTATTTAGAAAATAGTTGAAAAGAGAGGAGAGGAAGAAAGTGCCAAGAAAAAGGTGGCCAACAGGTATGTGAAAAAATGCTCAACATCACTAATCAGCAGAGAAATGCAAGTCAGAACCATAATGAGATATCATCTCATCCCAGTTGATATGCCTTTTATCTAAAAGGTAATAACAAACACTGGCAAGATGTGAAGAAAGGGAACTCTCATACATTGTTGGAGAGAATGTAAATTAGTGCAACCACTAGAGAGAACAGTATGGAGGTTCCTCAAAAAACTAAAAACAGAACTACCATATGATCCAGCAACTCCACTACTGGGTATATATTCAAAAGAAAGGCAAGCAGTGCATGGAAGAGGCATCTGCACTCCCGTGTTTATTGCAGCACTATAGCCAAGATGTGGAATCACCCTAAGTGCTCCATGGACGAATGGATACAGAAAATGTGGTGTATATATATATATATATATAAAATGGAATATTATTCATATTATATCATTTCGAAGAATGAAATCCTGTCATTTGCAGCAACATGGAGATGAAACTGGAGGTCATTATATTAAGTGAAATAAGCCAAGCACAGAAAGACAAATGTCACATGCTCTCACCCATATGTGAGAGCTAAAAATTTTAAAAATTGAACTCAGGGAGACAGAGAGTAGAATGACGGTTACCAGAGACCGGGAAAGGTAGCAGGAAGGTGGGGATATAGTGGGGATGCTAATGGGTGCAAAAATATAGTTAGAGAGAATGAACAAGATATAATATTGGATAGCAAACCGGGGGACTATAATCAACAATAAGTTGACTTACAATAAGTGATTGTATTCTTTAAAATAACTAAAAGAGTGGAATTGGAATGTTCCAAACACAAAGAAACGATAAATGCTTGAGGTAATGGATAGCCCAGTTACCCTGATTTGAGTACTGCCTGTATCAAACATCACATGCACCCTATAAATACAGGAGGGCTGTCCAGAAAGTATCCAGCCATGTGGATACCTTACAACAAAAGGTCACATGGCTGGATACTTCCTGGACAGCCCTCCTGTATACCTATTATGTGCCCATAATAATTGAAAATTTAAAAGAGAGAACAGAAAAAGATGGCCAGAAAGCAGACGGCATGTTCTTCTACCTGCCAGAAGCTGAATTTCCTTACCGATGAGAACAGGCAGCATGAGGACCTGGGAGGACACACCGGACCATGTCAAGGTATCGACCTTCCTCCTCCTCCTCTTCTTCCTCCTTAGGTGTGTTATGGAGAAACCCCAGGGAAAGTGATTGTACACTACGACAGTTTGCAATACAAAAAGAAGAAACCACATGGTCCATTCTGGTGGAGAGATTGATCTCAATTTTGGGGAAGTGGTTCATGGCCCTTTGCACAAAATCCTCCTCCTGCATCTCGTACAAACAGTAGAACAATTCCAGCTGGCTGGGCTGGATCTGCAGCTTCTTGGCCTTGGCGTTCACTTCCATCCATTTCAGCAGCTCCAGCCTGATCTGCTGAGAGATCTTGCAACTTAATTTCTTCTCCAAATAGGAGGTCCTCTCCTGGTTTACAAGGCCAAAGAGGAAACGGACAACAAAAATCAAATACCCCTTCTCAAACTTGCCATAGTTTTCAAGAAGGGCTGTCACATCTCGGTTCGGAAGCTTTGAACAACTCCCCAGTGCAGTCCTCATCTCTCCCTCTTCCTCCTCTTCCAGCAGGTAGTACATGGCAGCAAAGAACTCCTGGAAAGTCATGTGGACGAAGCTGTAGAACTTCTCGCAGTCCACTTCCTTCTGGAACAGGTTCATCCTTAGGAAAGCAGACACATCCACCTTCTGCAGGCCATGATTCCTGAGGTCAGACTCCTCAAAGAGGATTTTCTGGTTCCAGATTCCATCTGCGGCCAAAGAGCAGAGCCCCCGAAGGTGGTGGGAGAGGGGGTGCTCCTGGCTCCCTCCCCGGGACTGCAACAAACTGGAAAGGAAGAAGACGTACACCGCAGTGGTGGTCTTGGACGTCTGGGCCAGACTCTTGCCACTCTCCATCTGCTGCTTCAGTCCAGTGCACACGATCCAGCAGACTAGGGGGATGAAGCACATGGTGAAGAGGACCTCGTTCTCCTGGATCAGTCTGAAGGCTTCCCTGGCTTGTGCCTCGTCAGAGAAGTACTTGAAGAAATACTCCTTCCTTTTGGCCTCTGAGAAACCCAGGATCTCTATGTGACGGGGATGGTCCAGCAAGTGCTGCAGTTTCTCCAGGGCCACGGGTCTCGTGGTGATGAGCAGAGAGGCCTCGGGAAGTAGCCTCTTCCTGATGAGGCTGCTCAGGAGAATGTCCCCACGCTCGGCCTTCTGCCAGTCGGTGCAGAGTGCCCCTACATGCTCGTCAAAGGCACCCTGCAGCTCATCAAAGCCATCCATGAGGAAGAGGATCCTGGAGGGCTTGCTGACAATCTTCCCCACGGGCGGGTTCGGGTCAGGGCAGCAGCTAGCGATCAGGTCCCTCAGACTCCTCCGTGTCACCAGGCTCACCTCCCGACAGTGGATGTAGAACAGATAGTCAAACTTGTCTTGGTAGAGCTTCCCCGACGCCCAGTCCAACATAATCTTCCTAGCCAGTATAGTCTTCCCAATGCCTGCCGCTCCCTGAAACACCACCGTGTGCACAGGCTCGGAGTGCTCGTCATCCGGGTCAAACAGCAGCTCCATCTTAATGGGACTCACGGGCTTGTCCCACGTCTTGGTCCTGCCGATGGCCAGGAGCTCGTGCTCCCTCTCCTGCTGGCTGCAGTGCTCCTTGACGAGCTGCAGCCGCGTGTAGCGCTTGTTGAGGTTCACGCTCTCGCCCAGGCGGGCGTTCCTGTCTTCGATGCACTGGAATCTGCTCCTCATGTGCTTCCTGTACTGCTTGCAGTAATCTACGGCAGAGACAGAAAGTCAGGCTTTGGGACAAGCCCACACACATCCACCTAGGCAGGAGCAAGTGACTCTGAGCGACTGGCAGCTGGAGTGGAGAAATGGAAAGGGCAGTTCCTCTCCACTGCTTGCGTACAAAAGGTCCCAGAAACTCTGGCGTCGATTTTTCATATACACAGTTGAGCATAAGACCAGTGCTGTCTATGCAGCCACCAGCCAGAAAACCCTGTTTTTCAGCCTTAAGTAATGTGTAGCCCATGCCTTTTAAAATGTGAAACACCTAATCCCCTCTCCCCAGGTTCTGGGGCTGTAAGGAACCAGGCAACCAGGAAGCTATTTCTTCAGCTGACGGTGAATTTCCTGAGACATGCCTTCGCATCCCCAAAGAGCAGGGGCATGTACAGTGGCCAGGCTTCCCAGCGCCTCCTGAACCAGGTCTCAAAGCCCAATTGGAAGCACTACCGATTGCTTACCTTTCTTCTTTTTACAAATAGAGATTCTGGAAAGGTAGCCCAGTAAACCCATCCATTCTTCTTCAATGCTCTCTTCGCGGCATATCACAGGGGTATTAGAAACATGTGCATTATCTGAACATAAAAGGAAAAAAAGTACAAAGTGTCAGAAACCAGAACTCTTAACTCAGAGGATGCAACGACACCCAGCCTAATACTTGGCATGGATCAAGATGCCCCACACGTCTCCCAAATTAAAACATGGCTCAGAGTTGCTGCTGACAGGTGTGTAGTCAAAAGTCCAGCTGGGAGCATCCCTACACTCATTTCAAAACAATGGCTGTCACCTACCTGCCAACCACTGTGCTCCCACTACATCCAGTCTCAGAATCTCTTTCCCAGGCCCAGAAATCGATCAGCAAACATGTGAAGTAGGCAACGCTTATTTTACCCTCATTTGTCTTTGGCAGTCCCTGGCACACTGATTTTGAAGCCATCTTCAAGCCCTCCAATATCCCCCAAGAAGGCCCTAGGCTAAGGATCACCCTTCCCTAACTCCAAATGCTTGTGATCTATTTTACCCACATCTTGTGCTTTCAGGTTTAAATTTCTGGGTATTTAAGAGTAAGGATTACCAATCTGTTTCATGTCTAATCTGATGGTTCAGAATCCTGGCTGAGTCACCCAGGAAGGTTTAAAAAGGTTTTAAAATACCAACTCCAGGACTCCAGCCCCAGAGATTCTTTTTCAATCCATCTGAGGTGAGGCCCAGGCGCCCGCACATAGTCAAAGCTCTCAGGTGCTCCCGACATGCACCCACAGCTGAGAACCACAGGTCTAAACAGTCACTAGATAACACGTCCCATAGAGGAGTGTCACAGGAGAAATGGAGGCATGGTAGAGCAAGAGCTGTCACCAAGGGAAATATGTGAGACAGACAGCTTTAGGTGGGTAGGAACCCCCTAAGAGTGACATAAATGATTCTTGGTAATCTCCTACTTATTCTGAAAGCAAATGCTGTTGGTAACCTGATCAAAAAAAAAAAAAAATCCAAACATATAACTCAAACCAAAACCAAAGACTAATTCTTACCTAAAGCCTAACCCTAGCTCAGAAAAAAATAATAATAATTTCTAACCCTCGTTAATAATTTTGCTGCCTCAAGATTCAGATATGGAGGCCCATAAGACACAGTGGTTAACAGCTGGGCTTTGGTCAAAGACACACCTGGCTTGTTATCCTGGCATCGGCTCTGACTAGGAAGCAGCAGTTAGAACTCTTCCGGGCTCATTTCATTCATCTGAAAGTTGGGACAGCATCAGTAACTACCACATGGAGTTCTTGAATGTGAAACAGAATCCGTAAACATTGCTTAGGCAGGTACTTCCGCAGCTATGATTATTATACTTTCATTTGGTTATATGAGTATGTAGTATTGACACAATTATAATTGTGTTTTAATCGCAACCACATGTGGTATGAGGAGCTGGATGGAAACCTGGAGGCAGGTCCAGGCATAGAGAGATCCGGAAAAAGTGGGAGTAATAAGGGCAGGTTCCTAGAGGTGGGTGAAATCTGAGTTGGGTTCCTAAAGAAGTTAGAAAAAGCAAACTGTTTTCCCCCCATCTTCTCATAGTACTACCATGAGAGGAAGAAGCCAAGACAATACAAAAAGTGATTTTTTAAAAAAAACATACTAACTTCTGTGTATTAAAGGACACAATCAACAAAGTGAAAAGGCAACTTATATAATGGAGAAAATATTTGTAAATCATATCTCTGATAAGGGGTTAATATCCAAAATATATAAAGAACTCCTACAAGTCAACAATAAAAAACAACCTGATTAAATGATGGGTAAAGGACTTGAACATATTTTTCTCCAAGAAAATAAATATAAATAGCCAACAAGCACTTGGAAATGTGTTTCACATCACTTGTCATTAGGGACATGAAAACAAAACTACAACGACATGCCGCCTCACACTCGTCACAATGGCTACTATCAGGAAGAAAAACATGGAATAACAAGTGCACACGAGGACATGGAGAAACTGGAGCCCTTGCGCACTGTGGGAACAGAGAATGGTGCAGATGCTATTGAAAACAGCAGGGCAGTTCCTTAAAAAATCAAACATAGGATTACCATATGATCCAGAAATTCCACTTCTGGGCATATACCCAAAGTAATTCAAAGCAGGGTCTCAAAGAGATATTTCAATAATGCCTATAACGGCATGTTCACAATAATGAAAAGGCGGCAGCGACACAAATGTGGACGAGCTGTGGCACATCCCACACGGCGGGACGTCATTCAGCCTTTAACAGGGAATTCCGACATGAGTCACAATATGGACGAGCCTTGAGGACACGATGCTCAGGGACATAAGTCAGCCATAAAAAGACAACACTGTACAAGCGCACTTATATGAGGTGCCCAGAGTAGTCGAGTGCACAGGAAACATGATGGTGGTCACCATGCCAGGGACTGGGTGCGCGTGGCCCTCGACCTGAGTCCAAACTTCACAGAACAAACCCCTTTATTAAAAGGATCTGGGCCGGGCGCGGTGGCTCACGCCTGTAATCCTAGCTCTCTGGGAGGCCGAGGCGGGCGGATTGCTCAAGGTCAGGAGTTCAAAACCAGCCTGAGCAAGAGCGAGACCCCATCTCTACTATAAATAGAAAGAAATTAATTGGCCAACTGATATGTATATAAAAAAAAAAATTAGCCGGGCATGGTGGCGCATGCCTGTAGTCCCAGCTACTTGGGAGGCTGAGGCAGAAGGATCGCTCGAGCCCAGGAGTTTGAGGTTGCTGTGAGCGAGGCTGACGCCACGGCACTCACTCTAGCCTGGGCAACAAAGTGAGACTCTGTCTCTAAATAAGTAAATAAATAAATGGATCTGTTCTGGAAAATGTGGATTCGGTCAAAAGGCTGCATTCAAGGATTCAGAAGGCCACAGGCTCCCCGGCCCGTGGGCGAGGAGGATGCCCAGTGGGGAGGTATGCTTAACGGGTAAGGGGTTTCAGTCTTGCAAGATGTAAAGCTTTCTGGAGGTTGGTTGCACAACAGTGTGAATGTACTTAACACTACTGAACTGTACAGTTAAAATTATTAAAATGGTAAATTTTATGTTATATGTACTTTACCAACTTTGAAAAAAAGGTCCTCCTTCCACTCACCCCACTCTGGCTCATCCCTCTTAGCTCTCTCATAAAGGTCTCTCCTGTTGATTGCAGCAAAAATCCACATGGCCATGGCCCATGCCTTCTCCTCCCCATTGAAATCAATCATCAGGGTGGCCAGGTCCACGTGGTCTGCCTTCTCTGTCTGGCCCCTCGGGAGTGAGATGCAGCCCTTTTGAGGAGGATAGTCTTCCAGATGCATTTTGAATTTCTTGAAGTCTACATCCTCCAGGTCCTCCAGGTACCTGGCCAGTGTGCAGCGGATGCTTGCCATCTTCATCTGCGGCCTTTGTCAGGGCCCTTGGGCTCCGGTCCACACCGGGATACCAGGCAGTGTGACAACAGCATATGCCTAAGAACAGTCTTTTTAAAAGTCTCCACTTGAACTAAATTATCAAAAACTCAGAAAACTCCAAGGGAAAAAATATTACATGGCTGCAACAAGTCACCATCATTAATTTCGAGAAGTGAGCCAAAAGCTTCCCTGAAGACTCTCCCTCGGGCCCCAAGCAGATGTCCCGAGCCATGGAAGAAGTTTCCCTACGGAGGAAAAATATGTAAATGAACCCAAAAACATGATCCTATTACAGGCCAAAATGAACCGCCACGTCATAATGCCTCCCTGACTGTCACCGAGAGAACCTCTGTCACTTTGGTTCGTGGGCTGTGACTGGACAAACCTCTTACTGTTCCCCCACATCAGTTTCCTTAGCTATAAAATGAGAGAGCAGAAGAGATTGTTTCCAAGTTCCTTCCAACTGAAGGCTCTGGCTCCTTACTTCTGTCTTGACCTGAGGGAAGACGGATGTGGGACAAAGGAAGGAAGAGGCTAGGAGATGAGTTTCTATGGTGATGAGAGCACGGCAGGTACATGGCTGGAGAGGGAGGAGAGAGAACAGGCACTATGAAGGGGGACGGCCTTCAACTGCCCTTCTATCAATCCATTCCTTGACAGAAACTAGAACTCAGGTGCATAAGGGGGAATAATGAACACACACATCTCCTTAATGTCTTTTTGCAAAACTCACAATTATAATAATTATTACAACTCATATCTATTCAGAGCTTCTCATGGGATAGGCACTGACTAATGTTTTTTCTCATCTAACCTGCACAAAGCTCTATGAAGTGTGTATATTCCTAGCCCCATTTTATGGATGTAGAGACTGAGTCTTAAGGAGACTAAGAAACTTGCCCAGGGGTTTGCAGCCAGGAAAGAACAGGGCCAGCATTTCTAACAGAAATCCTGACTTAACTAGGTGTTTCGGACAGAAACAAAAATGGAGACAACAAAACAGATGGTGAAAAGACAAATACACTTCCCCAACATCTATCGCAAATGTTTTTATTATAGTGTTCACCAACATAGTTTTCCTAACTAGACTTTGAGTTCCACAAAAGCTAGGAATCACCTGCTATATCCTTTGATCTTCCATATCTCCTAGAGTTTAGATGGATGAACAAGTTAGCTTTGTCTGGAATTGTTCCCTTATTTATGGCTTCATTTTACTCTATTTGGCAAAGCGACACAGCGACACCCAGCCATAGTGGTGCTCAAGAGAGGGAAAGGCTCAAGAAAACAGCAACACTCCCCAAATGGGAATTTATGTGACTGCAGTTCGATGTCCAAGACACCTCAGATTCACTCATCTGTCCTCTTCTATCTCCACTCATGCCTTTCTACTCCTGGCCTCATGAGCACCCCCAAATCCATCCCTATGTGTCCTAGGGGAGCTGGTCTCCAGACAGGTTTCTCGGCTCCACAGCCCCTCCCAGCTGTCTCCATCCGCACGGGGCTCCCACCTCTCCCCTCGTCCGCCTCACCCACACACTCCACCTTCATCCTCACCTCTCCCACCACTCACACACATGCACTGAGGCCCAAACAATGGCAAACATAAAAGGACATTGCAGAAACATTGCTGAAGGATGGGCCTGGAGGCTAGCAGAAGAAATTCTTAGTCCATTAACCAAGACAAGTTCTGCACTGTCGACACACCCTCCCCATTGCTCCCCCAGTTCTTTCGCCCGCCCTGCTCCACGGAGCTGGACTCACCCACACACCAGACTCAGGAACAGCCAGAGAGGAAATGCAACGAATTTATAGCGGTCAAAGCTCCAGCAGCGGCAGGAAGGATGTGGTCTCAGCATGGAGCGAACAGGCTTGCATCACAGGCGAAGCCGGAGAGACTAATGGTTACTCACAGAGCTGGATTTTCCAGACAGAACCAACAGTGCCCTCAAAACGGAGCCTGGGCTGTGCGCTGGGTCCGCCCGCCTCTCCTCCGAGGTGCCCTGCAGAAGCAACAGGGAAGGCCAGGCAAGCGGGCGGGCGTGAGGCTGGTGGTGCTCAATCGGAGTTACCTCTGACACTCACAGCAGCCCAGTGAGTGCTATGACTGCCCGGTGACAGGGGGCAAGGGAAACTAAGGGCACACCAGAGCTAGTAAGTGAAGGATCTAGAGCACGGCCCGACCTTCAAACCCCAGACGGCATGCTCCTTCCCCTCACTGGAGGCGGCTGGCAGGCCGTGCAGGTTCTCTCCACCACGTGTTATTTTTAAGGCACAGATTCTACTCCCTGGCTTATTGGCTCACCTGTCTGACCAACAGTTATGGAGCAGCCTGCACATGCCAGGCATGAACTCAGAGCCTTGCCCTTAAGGAGCTAGAGCAGAGACAGACACACAGACCTGCTTCTGCAGCTCCACATGGTGGCTGTGGGACAGCAGCCTGACAAAGGCAGAAGTTCGACAGGGCTTGGTGAGGGAGAGGGATCCGTCCAGTGAGCGTAGGGACCCTGGAGTGAGAAATTCCAAGTTCAGTGGAAGGGTGTTGGCAAGAGATTTAGTCTCTGTGTGCCTCAGTTTCCTCATCTGTAAAATGGGGACAATAATGGCACCTATCATAAAGGACTGTCAGAAGGACTGAGTGAAGGGGTAAATGGGAGGCCTTTAGAACTGAGACTAGTACAGAGAAGCTGGTGTCAGCGGTTGGTTCCCACTACTGCCACCGTTGCTATGGATCTGCCAGTACAGAATGCTCTGAGAGATGAAGGAGAGGGAAGTGAGAGCATGAGAGCAGACCTGAGTTTCAGTGAACCACGTGCTGAATATTGTTAGGAGTTGAGGCAGAAGCAGCCAGGACTTCAGATGCTAAAGCTAGAGAAACAGCAGATCAAATATACTCAAAAAGAAAGGTGTTCATTGACTGAACAACGATTTTTGTTTGTTTGTTTAGTCAGGTGAATTAAGGTATAATTTATATACAGCAAAAATGCACACCTTTATAAAAACAGACATGTAGACTAATGGAACAGAATAAAGCCCAGAAATAAACCCAAGCATATATAGTCAACTAATTTTTGAGAAGGCCACCAAGAAGACACAATGGAGAAAGGACAGTCTCCTCAATAAATGATGTTGGGAGAACTGGCTTTCCACATGAGAAGAATAAGACAGGACCCTTGTCTTATACCATATATAAAAATTAACTCAAAATGTAATAAAAACTTAAATGTAAGACCTACGATTGGGACTGTGAAACTCATAGGAGAAAGCCTAATGGAAAACCTCTTTGATACTGGCTTTGGAAAGAAATTTTTTGATATCTCATCAAAAGTACAGGCAACAAAAGCAAAAATGAACAAGTGGGAATACATCAAACTAAAAAGTTTCTGTATAGCAAAGAAAACAATCAACAGAGTGAAAAGGAAGCCAATAAATTAGGAGAAAATATTCAGTAACTATATGTAAGATAAAAAGTTAACATCCAAAATATGTAAGAAATTTACACCCCTCAATCACAATAAAACAAATAATCCAGTCATTGCAAACTCAAAACCAGAAGGAAAAGAGATAAACATTCTTGGTTACAGAAGTAGTAGGTGTGGCTGGTCCGAAGGTAGTGAGTTATCTCACGTGATTGTTCACAGTCAGTTACAGATTGAACTCCTTGTTCTACTACTTTCCCCCCTCCTCACTACTGCACTTGACTAGTCTTAAAAAAAATAATAATAATAAAAAAAAAAAAAAAGAAGTAGTAGGTGGTACTTGTGAGCCCTACATCAGCTGACTAAAAACCACTGACTGAGCATAAACACTTCAGTTTTCCACAGTCTCCACCATTCCCTACTACCTCTAAGATTCAGTCCATTACTCACATTTATATTGTCTGGTAGAAACTACAGGAATTTCAATTCGCAACTCATGACATTCAGCCTTATCTTTAAACAACAATAATTTAAAAAAACCCAGTTACTTCATCAGAAAGAACCCACATCGGAGACAGTTCAGTTATACATATGGGGAAAAACCCAGTTATTTTAATACATCCTTGTCCATACAGCATTATTTACAATAGGCAAAAGGTGGTGACATTTGGATGTCCATCAACACATGAATGGAAAAACAGTGTGTGGCATACACATACCATGGAATATTACTCAGCTTAAAGAGGAGGGAAATTCTGACACATGCTACAACATAGATGAACGTTGAAGACATCTGCTGAGTAAAATAAGCCAGTCACCAAAGAACAAATACCGTATTGTTCCATGTATATGAGGTTTCTACAGTAGTTAAATTCATAGATAGAAAGTAGAATGGTGGTTTCCAGGGCCTGGGGGGAAAGGGGATTAGGTAATTAGTGTTTAATGAGTACAGAGTTTTAGTTTTATAAGATGAAAAGAGTTCTGGAGATTGATTGTACAACAACATGAATGTATTTAGCACTACAGAACTATACACTAAAAATAATGAAAATGGTACCTTTTATGTTACATACTTTTCCAATATAAAAAATAGAGTGCAGTGGTGTAATCACGGCTCACTGCAACCTCAAATTCCTGGGCCAAAGCCTCCTGAGTAGCTGGGATACTCATGCAAGGATAATATTCAAACCTTTTTTTATTTGTAGAGATGGGGTCTTGCTATGTTGCCAGGCTGATCTTGGACTCCTGGACTCAAGCAGAAAAGGTTATTTTATACATTTCCACCCCTCATTTTCTCTCTCTCATTTAGCCCAGACAGAGGAAAAAGCTGCAGTATATATGCTGTTCTATCACTCATAAAGCTAAAAGCAATTACATTCCACTTTATCAGATACACCAATATAAATTATAAATGAACTGAATACTTAAAATATTTATATAAGCATAGAGAAAACAAGAGCAATACACATCATTTTTTGCCTCTTAGATGATCACTAAAAGAGGTGACTAGGCAGAGAGAAGAAGTTTCCAATTTATGCAATTTTGTATCATTTGTGTTTGTTGCAAAGAATGTCAGCAATTTATAAAAAGTATGGAAAAGCTAAAAAAAACTTCCTATTAAAGAGGGCAGAGGAGAAAGCTCTAGCCCCTGTGTCATCTCTGAAATCAACTAAGAACTACAAGAAAGAGAAACAGAAAGGAATCTCCACTTCTGTGAAGCCACAACTCAGGAGAGGACTGGCCCCCAGGTGGCTGGCGCCTGGGACTGGACGGAGGTGGATGTGATGAGTGAGAGTTTGCCAGAGTTGGGGGCAGTAAAGAGAATCGGGGGTTTGCCAGAGTTGGGGGCACACAGCAGTGTGAAGCGGCAACCCCAAGCCCTGCCCTTGTTGGAGCTGCAAGGTTGAGTGTGTGGGCAAACTCTGAAACATCTTTGAACATGTGGACCACAGCAGTGACAGGAAGTTGAGATGAAACAGGTGTGCATGTGCAAGAGCGGGTGCTTATCTGTTACCTATGTAGGGAGAAACTGAGGGTCAGTACGAGCCTAACTCATAGTGACGCTGCTCAGCAAAGAAGAAGTGCAAGCTATATCACCCCAATTCTGCGACATGCAGGGTTTTGCTGTGAGTCAAGGAGACTTCCTGTTAGTCTAGAGAGGACCACACCCAGCAGAAAGGAGGAGAGAGCCGGCGTGGTGCTCACGCCTGTAATCCTAGCACTTTGGGAGGCCGAGGCGGGCGGATTGCTCAAGGGCAGGAGTTCGAAACCAGCCTGAGCGAGACCCGTCTCTACCAAAAATAGAAAGAAATTAATTGACCAACTAAAAATATATATACAAAAAATTAGCCGGGCATGGTGGCGTATGCCTGTAGTCCCAGCTACTCGGGAGGCTGAGGCAGGAGGATCGCCGAGCCCCGGAGATTGAGGTTGCTGTGAGCTAGGCTGACGCCACGGCACTCACTCTAGCCTGGGCAACAAGTGAGACTCTATCTCAAAAAAAAAAAAAAAAAAAAGAAAGAAAAAAAGAAAGGAGGAGAGAGAACAGGGGGAAAGCAGAAATGCTGGACCCACAATGCCTGTCCTCCCAGTGCACCTCCAGCCCTGGGCCCCATGCCCGCTCCTGTGCCATGGACCTTGCTGCCTCCTGGTATGCACAGACCCGTTCTCAGAATAATGTCTTCAAATGCACGAAACAAAACATAGAGAGTACAAAGGGAATATCAGCTTGAAATATTTTTTAAAAGCTTGTAATATTTATACACTGATTAATCGGATCTAGCAGTGGGCCTAATAACTGGTATAATTTGAAGTAGTGGTGAAGGCAATTGACATTTCAGCATATCTGTAACAACGGTAAGGTAATATAAAAATATGTCATTTCTACTGGTGAAAAATGTATAGGATCTACTGATACCAGTGAGCTGTGCTGCCTACATACATTAAAAAAGTAAAGATGATAATTTTTTCCCATTCAAGCTCATAGACCTCCTGAATTATATCCACAGACTCCTTGGGGATATTTGCTAGGATTCTTCCAATTACTCTTCAGAAAAGAGCTACTCCAAGAAAAAATCCATTATCTCAAAGAAAAGTGACCATATTTGTAAAGGAACCATCATGGAAACTACAAAAAGATAATGTGGGGGGAGAAATAACAGGAGAAAAGGCATATAGCAAATAAAAAGATAATATGAACACTTAACAATGATAGTATGCCACAAATCAAGTGAAAATTACTGTGGTAGACACAATAATGGCTCTCAAAGATGCCCACAACCTACTCCCTGAAAACAGTGACTGTCATGACACACAGTGCTATGATTTGAATGTGTCTCCTTAAGTTCATGTGTTGGAAACTTAATCCTCAAGGCAACAGGGCTTGGAAGTGGGACCTAATAGGAGGTAATTAGGTCACGAGGGCTCTACCTTCACGAATGAATTAATGTCATCATCAAAGGAGTGGGTTAGTTGTTGCAAGAGTGGTTTTGTTATAAAAGCAAGTCTGGCCCTCTCTTGCCCTGTGCCTTCCACTACAGGATGTTGCAAAATGAGGGTCCTCACCAGACACTGGCGCCATGCTCTTGAACTTCCCAGCCTCCAGAACCGTGAGCCAAAAAATTTCTGTTCATTATAAATAACCCAGTCTGTGGTATTCTGTTATAGCAACATAAAACAAACTAAGATCGGCATGCAAAATCCTGTCGAAAAAAAAAAAAAAAACAAACTAAGACACATGGCTAAAGAGAATTAAGGTGGCAGATGGAATTAAGTTTGTTAATCAGGTGACCTTAAGGTAGGGATATTATCCTGGATCATCTGGGTGGGCCTAATATAAAGACCCTAATATAAGGGTCCTTACAAGTGGAAGAGGGAGATAGAAGGTCAGAGTGATTCCATGTGAGGACTCAGATGGAAGGGCTATGAGCTAAGGCATGAGGGAGGCCTTTCCCTCTAGCTAGACTCTAATGGCTTTAGACTCTAGAGGCCCCTGAAAGGAACACAGCCCTGCCAGCACCATTATCTTAGCTCAGTGAGACATATTTTATTCCAGACTTGCAGAATAAGAAGATACTAAATTTTTTGTTGTTTTAGGACAATAAATTTATGGCATTTTGTTATGGCTGCCATAGAAAACGAATACAATTAAGAGCAACTAGATGTCTGTGAAGTTGAAGAATTTACAGGAAGTATCATCTATCAAAAATAAAAGTCTGAAGAAGAAACATACAGTTGGGCATTAAGGACATGAACAAATACAGATGAAATGATGGGCTTACAAACTCAGACTGAAAGCCAGAAAGCCTTGCAGAAATGAAGACTGCAGTAAGAGCAGCAAAAAAGAAAACAGAATCTGTTAAATCATTGCATGTGGTGGAGAACATGCTTGAGGAACAGAGCAACAGAAACAGGGAAGGACAAAATATTTAAGAGCATTTTAAAGTCAAACGAAAGATGTTTAAGTCAAAGGAGCCCCAACCGTAAGGGGAAATGCACTCAGATGGGCGACAGCTTTCTTAGGCCAGACGAAGATGACCACAGCGTTTCTCGCGGGGCCCTGCCGGCTA